ATGCCCGTGGAAATCCAAGAATTGTTCATACGATGAATACGAAGACTTTCAGATTGCAGTGATAAAAGCGATATCTGAAGGTTATTGCTCAACATACGGCTAAGCAGAGGTAAATGACTGTAATAAAAATTGTTGATGGAACAGATGGAATGAACAAATGCCCGTGGAAATCCAAGAATTGTTCATACGATGAATACGAAGACTTTCAGATTGCAGTGATAAAAGCGATATCTGAAGGTTATTGCTCAACATACGGCTAAGCAGAGGTAAATGACTGTAATAAAAATTGTTGATGGAACAGATGGAATGAACAAATGCCCGTGGAATTCCAATAATTGTTCATAAGATGAATACGAAGACTTTCAGATTGCAGTGATAAAAGCGATACCTGAAGGTTATTGCTGAACATAGGGCTACACCTGTCTCTTATACACATCTAGATGTGTATAAGAGACAGCTGTATAGTAGTCGGCTTACAAACTTTTACTACTAGCAAACCCTAGCGTCAGTGGCGTAGGGGTCTTGAAATGGAAGGGGTGGAGCTGATAGGGGTGGGAATGTAAAGTGGGGATCGGTGATTAGGTGAGGAGGCTAATTCGCAAAATAATGTGATTTGAGGTGATTTTTAACTACTTGATTTGTGGGCGGGGGGATGGGCGAGTATTTTTTTAGGGGGGAGGGGCGTGCACGACCCTCGCACATCCTAGATATGCCAACACCTAGCATACCCTGCAATTTACCCTACGGTCCGCCACTGTTATTAGCTTAGTCGACCAATGTATATTATGTCAATAGTCTGGTATACTCGAAACACGACCTAGAACATTGTTACACCACTGGATATAATATAGAAGTAATTTAATGTTAATAGAACATTTAAATAAACATATCTAAATACTATAATATTGTAAAAAAAGTCATAATGAAACTTACCGTTACTTGGCAGTCTGAATTCCTGATTGGTTGAAAGTGGTTACCATCGACACTGTACACAATCTCATAAGACGTCACATATTGATAGGGGATGTATCCGTTGCGGCCTTGTGTAATTACTCCGTGTACCCTATGCAGTTTACCTAGGTCAACTTGGATCCACTGGTGTCGGTCATTTGTTTTTGACGACCATGCTCCCCCGAACCCCTTACTGTTTGCTTCATTGTTCAGTCGCCCACGATGTGCCTCGTGCATTAAAGCAGGTTCACTGGATGCGGACAGTTGTTCCGCGGGAATATTCCCATCTTCAATACCAAGAGGATCGATACACAACTCTGAGATAGAATATTACAATAACTGAAATTCTTGTCCTTTTTCGCTAAACATTTTACATAATTTTCTTCTATTTTAGAATTCTATACTGTGTAAAATTCCAAAAAATAAATAAATAAATAGATAATATAGAAAAAATTAAACCCTAAAAAATTATTTTAATATATTTTTCTCTTCTGATTTTTAAACCGATTGTGCTTAACATGATATACATTGGGATATTGAAAACCAAACCGTTACTGTTTTTATCTGTGTTACTCGGTTTCCTTTGCTTTCACATTCACTCAAATTCAGTTCAAATTCAAAGTTCAAAATTATTTTGGAAAAAGTAAATATAAACTCTCAGGTGGCTTTCTTAAGAACACCAGTACTTATCAAGTAGCAGTAGGTCTTATCATGAATAATTATTATTTACTCCTTAAATACACACACACACACACATTACAACTAGACGCTAATCTGGCGGAAAAATATAAAGAAATTTATTTAAAAAAAAACTCTTAATTAATTTAAATTGTAGTTAAATTGTTGCATTTACTATTTATACAACTGAAACAGTTAATGTAAAGATTTTATTAATATTATAAATCGTGAGACTTGAATAGGTTAAATAATGCATGTATACACACACACACACACATATATATATATATATATGTCTCACAGAAATATATAAATAGGTCTATATATATAGAAATTATATTATATAAATAGAAATATACAAACTTAACATTTAATTTTTCACTAAAGACTGTTTCATGAGGGCACAGCTTCAATCATCAGGTGCTCGGCAACACATCTAGATGTGTATAAGAGATAGATTTTTCAGTGGGATTGAGCACTGTTTCACAACATTTACATATATATATATATTATATATATATATATATATATATATACAAAATATGATTGTCAAGATCAGCAACGTATAGTGCTCAATGCGAATGCAGATCGCAATAATAATAATAATAATAATAATAATAATAATATAAAGTGTGTCAAGCGTGAATTTACTCTACAGCTGTTTCATGCAGTAGATAATGGATGTACTGTATATGCTAAGTGCTTCGGAGAGCTAAATGTGTGCTTATGATTTGAAAATCTGGTTTTGAATCTGTTGTCTTTGAATCGGATGTATTCTTTGACCTCATCATTTGTGGTTACGATGGCTTTGTAGATAATTTAAGATGCGAGGCAGTTACCTGAGAGGGAGCATTCATCTTTCTTTTGGCAGTTGCATGTATTAGATGGTTCTTGTGGTTTGGTGCGACGAAGTCTGCTGTTGTGGGACTGAATGATGTTTCCCATGTTTCTAGAACAGCTATAGCTAACTTTGACATTATTTTTGTTGAATAGCTTGTGAAGTGTACTGCACTAATGTACTACAGGAAAGTGTTTTTTAACCAAGTTCAGAAAGGATCTGCCGATGTCGGTTTTCAAGATTTGTTGAATGGAGACAGCATCTCTGAGATCAACAGCATAGCTAAAACCATTTCATCCAGCCTAAATATAGACGATCGTGTTGAAACGATCGCAGAAAAAGAATCCTTCATCACATTAAAGGACCATAAAGAAAACTTTCAAAACAAACCAAGCTGCAGACTAATCAACCCATCGAAACCAGAAATCGGTCGCATAAGCAAAACCATCCTTGATAGTGTTAATCGTAATCTGATCACCAAAACCAAACTACATCAGTGGAAAAACACTTCGGCAGTGATCAATTGGTTTAAAAGCATACAACAAAATCCAGCAGCACATTCATTGCATTCGACATCGTGGAATTTTACCCTTCGATTACAAAAAAACCTGTTAATCAATTCCATCAAACACGCACAGAAGTCTACGAGCATTACAGAAGAAGAAATAAACATAATCATGCAAGCACGTAATTCCATCCTATTTGACAGCGATTCGATATGGAAAAAGAAAAGCTCCAACAACATGTTCGACGTCACCATGGGCAGCTTCGACGGGGCAGAAGTATGTGAGCTTGTCGGCTCTTTCATTCTGTCATCACTTGCAAAAAAGCTTGGCAAAACAACATCGGCCTATACCGGCACGACGGCCTCGCAATGTGTGAGAAGATGAAAAAGGAAATAACATCCATCTTTCACTCCTTTGATCTTCGCATCACAATACATGCAAACATCAAAATCACTAACTTTCTCGATGTTACACTGGACCTACAACACGATACCTACCAACTTATTGGACATCGACTCGCGCTCTAACCATCCCCCAACCATTTTAAAACAAATACCTACATCAATTAATCAACGAATATCTAACATCTTTGATTCCAAGACTACATTTCTCAAGGCTGCTCCCGACTACGAAAATCATTAAAGAAGAGCGGCTTCCAGCACAAAATGAGTTTTAAACCATCACCTGGAAACAACAAGCCTCAAAGAAAACGAAACATCACCTGGTACAACCCTCCATTCAACAAACCTGCTTTAGAAACATAGGAAACATCATTCAGTTTCACAACAGAAGAATTCTTCGCACCAAAATCATGGAAAGACGATAAAACCGTAGTAGTAACGACGGTTTTATCGTTTTTCCATGAATATGACATTATTTGAATTGATTTGTTAAAATGAGTTGTTATCGCATACACGATAATTCGTTATATAGTCCCAGTGTAAAAACTTCTCTTATTTTCTATATGAACAATTTAATACTTTTTAGCTTGTTATCTTTATCGCTGCAAATATAAACAGGCATTTATTATCATCATCATTGTCATTGGCATTATCACTACTCAATTTTTAATTTAAATGTAATTGGTATATTATTTCAATTTACCTGCTGAGCATCCAAGAACCTCAAATCGTAAACATATATTTTTATTCCAGTCAACTGGATGAATACGGACGAATTGGGCGTAGATAGGTTCAGAAAATATGTTTGTCACGGTAGTGTCTTGATCTGAATTTCCATCAAACCTCTATAAATATCACATAATCTTAAGATTAACATTGCTTTCTCAGCATATTATTCAAGTATAACCAGAGATGTAACTACCTGTGGTTCAGCATGCGCTTCGGTGAACCGGGGCCCCAAAGTTCAGGGTCCCCATGGACAGGGCACTACCCCATAAAAACTAAATAGTATAAAAGAAAATCATCTGACCAACTAAATAAAAAATATATAAATGATGATAACAGTCCTTATATAAAACTGTATGTTTACCAGTCAGTTGGCGAAGAAATAATCTAAAGGTCAACAATAAGTTCTAAACACATACAAGATACAAGAAACCTTATTTGTCTTCAAATATAAAAGCATTTTGGAATATACGGTATTTCATCAAACATGTATCAAGACAACTTGTAAAAAAAAACAGAATGAACAAAATATAAAACATTATATACTGTACAAAAGAAAACAAAAAACAAATATAAATTTCACATTTATTTTTTTTTTTTTGCTAAATTTTAAATTTTAATTTTTCGTATATTATTCGTATATAACATACAGGTGATTACTCTCAATAAAAAAGAAAAAAATATATATGTAAATATATTGGGAAAAATTGTAATGACACTTACAATTACTTGACAATCTGAATTCCTGATTGGTTGAAACAGGTTACCATCGACACTGTAAAAAATCTCATAAGACGTCACCCTTTGTAAGCAGCATTTGTTTCGGCCTTGTGTGATTACTCCGCGTACCTTATGCATTTTGCCGAGGTCAACTTGAATCCACTGGTATTGGTCTTTGGTTTTTGAACACCATGCTCCTCCTCTTCCCAAACTATCTGCTTCAGTGTTCAGTCGTCCACTATGTGCCCCGGTCCGTAAAGACCATTCACTGGATACGGATAGTTGTTCCGCGGGAATAGTCCCATCTTCAATACCAAGAGGATCGGTACACAACTCTGAGATAGAATATTAGAATTACAGTTATGACACAATTGGTGACAAGTTTCAATATTTTATTTTTATTTTATACAGTATAAATTGAAAACAAAGTGAAAGAAAATCTTATAAGCTACTATATGGTGTAGTTTGAATTTTATACAAACTGTATTATTATGATTCTTCACATGTTTTCAGTTAACTGCTGCTCCGCATATTAATCTGAATCTTTATTTTATTAGATTGATTTTTAGTTTCCAAGTTTATACGGGCCTTAGAGTTTCTGTGAGAACATTCCATTTTGGACGTTGACGAACTTTGTTCCATTAATACTGTTGTTTATAATTTAAAAGTGAATCAAAGTCTTTGTATATTTTACTTGATTATAATTATGAAAAATTAATAAATGTTGGGCTACTCTATACAATTAAATATTGAAAACCACACCATTATTTTCTGCTTTATGTTTTTAAATACGGTTTGTTAAAGCAAATAAACGCTACGCGTATCTGTGCTTTTTGCCGTATTATTTTCCAAGGGCTCTAACACCGCATATAATCAATCATTTAATTTATATAAATTATACGACGACTCGACATTTTATTGGCTTTCGAAATATCTAAAAATTAGTTTGATTTGACTGGCCCGTCAATTTTTGTTGAACTGTTCAATCCCGATGGAATCTTTGGGAGTCCTATAGTTTCAACAGGACTCGAGCCATTGTTTTGCTAGTGTTCTGTCCGAATAATTGTAATATCAGTCCTGATGGTTTACAAAGTAGAAATATTTATCTTATAACTTCAAATTGTTTTCAACAAGTTCACCGAGATTCTTTCTAAATTGAATTTTTCTAAATTTCTTTCTGAAGCTTATATTCTTGTATAAAATAATTTCATTTTACGTTGACGTTTTTCCAATATACAAAATTCTTCTACCAATATACCGTTGAAGTTGATTAATTTATATTGCATCACACCAACAGTTTTCAAAAAACAAACGGGAATTATTTACAATACTACTCATAAACTCTTCTGAACTGTTACAAGAACCTAAATCCGGCAAAACACAATTTATTTTTTGAAATAATGAGTGAACCTTAGAAGGCCGATTTTTAACATTTCGATTACAAAGTAAATTAGACCATTTGCAAATTTGAAGAGGGATTCTGCAATCATTTAATTTATTTAGGTATATAATAAATTTGTGTCCACTGATTAATCTAAGATAAGAAAGTATAATACATACTCCAATTATTGAAATGCATGCTATCGTGTTGGGATTCAATGTTTATACATTAACTATGTCATCATCAGGAATGAGTGAACCATTTGTTAATTTGAAGAGGGATTCAAAATGGTTCGAAGAGGGAACCAAATGGTTATGTCTTGATGATGACATAATTAATGTCGAAATATTGAATCCCAACACGATGGCGTGCATTTCAAAACTTGGATTATGTATTACACTTTAAAAAAAAAACAACCCGCACGATAAAACACAGAGTTAATTAAAGGATACTCCACTACCCCCCCCCCCCACCCAAATATCACTACCGTATTCAAGAGTACGATAAACGCATGCATCAAAGAGTTTAGTAAAATATTCTAATTAATGCCTCCAACCAATTTACATATATTAATAATCAAACCAAAGACACGTGATGCAGATGTGCTAATAAATTTTGTTAAAAAATCTAAAAATTCATAAAAACATATTCCAAATATTTATTTATAGCCCCCGACAACCTTAATATGTTTTCCATTACAAGAAAAGTGGACTGCCGTTTGGTTAAACGATTTTGGACGATAATGATCGACTTTGGTTTTAGAAACATTAAGTGCACTACACTATCTGTTAAACCAGTTTATATATATGTATGTATGATGACCAGCGTAGCACTAAACAAACTGTACGTTTTCCTGTAGACACAAATAAATGAAGTGGATGTAAGTAACCTTACAATTTCTTCGACTCAGAAATTAGTTCAAGAGGAATATAATTAGTCGAAATTAATTAACTATTCAGGTTTTCAATCAAATCACTTTTTAAGGCTTTTTTAACATTTCATGAAAGAAAACCAATATATCAAATCCAAGTTTAAGTTATAATTATTTGATCATAATTGTAGCCCTGATAATTTTATTAGCCGATAGAAAACCAGGGAATTTAATTTAACTAAACTTACAAAACAGTACACGGTAGTATTTGTAGCAAATTTGTTATCTCCTAAATTTTGTACCACTATTTGTAATAAATAGCGGCACAAATATATGCATACTTAGGCTATTTTATTTTAATCTGAACAAAATAAAACGAAAGAATAAACTTTGTAAAAGGATGAAAATATTTATGATCATAATAAAGATAATGATAATTTTGTAACTATTCCTACTACTACTTCTGCTACTACTACTACTGCTACTACTACAACTACTACAACAACTACTGCTACTACTACTACTACTACTGCTGCTGCTGCTGCTACTGCTACTACTACTACTACTACTGCTGCTGCTACTACTACTAATACTGCTACTGCTACTACTACTACTACTACTACTACTGCACTGCTACTACTACTGCCACTGCTCCTGCTACTACTGCTACTACTACTGCCACTGCTGCTGCTACTGCTACTACTACTGCCACTGCTCCTGCTACTACTGCTACTACTACTGCCACTGCTGCTGCTACTGCTACTACTACTGCCACTGCTCCTGCTACTACTGCTACTACTACTGCCACTGCTGCTGCTACTGCTACTACTACTGCCACTGCTCCTGCTACTACTGCTACTACTACTGCCACTGCTGCTGCTACTGCTACTACTACTGCCACTGCTGCTGCTACTACTGCTACTACTACTGCTACTGCTGCTACTACTACTACTGCTGCTGCTACTGCTACTACTACTACTACTACTACTACTGCTGCTGCTACTGCTGCTACTACTACTACTACTGCTACTGCTACTGCTACTACTACTACTACTACTACTACTACTACTGCTGCTGCTACTGCTACTACTATTACTACTACTACTGCTGCTACTGCTACTGCTACAGCTACTGCAACTGCTACAGCTACTGCTACTACTACTGCTACTACTTCTGCTACTGCTGTCAGGATTTTGAAAGGGGGGAGCCGTTATGCGAATTACGTAGGACCCCAGCGGGGTCAAGGGGGCGAAATTCCCTGTGAAGTAGCGCACTCTGAACGTCCTTTGGACTGTTTGAGAGGATAAAGTTAAAATTACAATAGACGCATTATAAATAAGCTCAAAAATAATTCGAAAGAGGTGAACCAGGGAGGGACATTCACAAACTGAGGAACCACTCACCGCAGCAGCATCATGGTTGGGGATTTTTTTAAATCACGCTTAGGCCTATGTGTTCTATTAGGCCTATGTATAACGTGTACTGATGCATATTTACATGTTTTAGAAGTATACATTTTTAGTGATCCCAGGAAATTTTTTGTATTGGCCCAAGAATAAGATTTAAAATTTATGACTGTGTACAAAGTGGGGTGGGGGAGCCGCGGCTCCCACGGCTCCCCCCCCCCCACTGGATACGTCCCTGACTGCTACTGCTACTACTGCGCTGCTACTGCTACTGCCACTGCTACTGTTACTGCTAAGGCCTATGTGTTCTATTAGGCCTATGTATAACGTGTAGGCCTACTGATGCATATTTACATGTTTTAGAAGTATACATTTTTAGTGATCCCAGGAAATAATTTGTATTGGCTCAAGAATAAGATTTAAAATTTTAGGACTGTGTACAAAGTGGGGTGGGGGGAGTCGCGGCTCCCACGGCTCCCCCTCCCCCCTACTACTACTACTTCTACTACTATTCCTACCACAACTACTAATAGGACCACCACCACAATAATATAAAAGCATAATCTTAAATAAATTCATTAAATCTAATAATTAAATAATTGTAGAGCTGTTACATATTTTTTTTGGTCAAAATGATACTTATCCGACACAACAGAGCTGATAATAAGCAATGAATTAACGAAAACTATACTCAAAATTTCCAAAATTGCATGTTTTTTGGTTGTTACAACTATAATTATAGATCTCTAAGTTTGATTTGAGTGAGTGTTACTGACGTATAGAATAGAGGAACCACTGATTGCTATTAATTATTTGATTCAATTGAATCGATATTACTGACGTTGAATATAAGCACACAATAGTGGAAGCACTAACATTAAACTGCCTAAAGCAACATTTAATTATTTAACTAACGAATGTTACTTCTAAAAGTAATTGATATTAGGCCTACAAGAAAAAACGTGATACTTTATCTATTGTGAAAAATGATGGCACAGTTCATGTTTATATGAAAATACCAAGTTATCCTATTTCCATTCTTTGGCGTCACACGTAGCAGCATAATTGTGCTGCGTAGCATAATTCAGACCCCTGTAGCACTTGGCATTTATGCTACGCATAATTTCATCAAAACGTAGCATAATGTAGCATACTGTAATTTATGTTGACATTGAAAAACATTTTAAATGAAATTAAAAATATTTGTAATAAAATGTTTCCAAAAACAAAGGTTGCTTTGTTTTACCACTCAATGTATACCACATAAATGGGTATGATATTATTGACATGATGTTTTTACGCCGCTTGCAGTTGGGACGTACTACTGTATCAGGTGTTGCAAAATAGAGAGAAATGCTTTCGTACAAAATGAGCAAATAACTACAGCGCCGCCAGACGGTCGGAGCCTTCCATTGCACAGTTTACCACCTTCTTCCTTTATTCTTTGAATTGTATATTTCAATAATATAGTAATAGGTATATCCCAGTTCTAGCCTATGTGAGTGTATACAATCTATTAAAAAAATATGAGTAAACGCAAAATTGTGAAAGAATAAAGGAAAGAGAAAGAATAGGAAAGAGAATTGGAGCGGCTAAAATATTTTCCGAAAATATACAGCAGTAGTCAATATGCTAGACTTGCCACAAGTCTCTAATTTCTTGATTTTTCGTAGTATT